GTTGTGCCAGACTCTTCCTCGATACGTGCCCTATCTTCCTTTACCCGGATGTGTTGGTGCACTCCCTCCATTAGGGCTTCTATAGTAAGGGGCGGCGTCATTGTCATTGAAACCCTCAACTTATTACCAGCCGGCAAACCTCGTTTGTACTGTGCGATAGCTAGGTTTATAAGGCAATCTTCAATCTGATTAAAAGTCTCACAATACCGGTTATTGTAAGATCTTAATGTTTCTTTCTCGTCTATGTTTATGGAGAGAAGTTGGTCAATCTCCACTGGTGTCTTGGTGTTCGCTCTGAATCTGGTCACAAATGCCTTCGCTAGTTGTGCCCATGAAGTTATGCTACCTTCTGGCAACCTTTCAGACTACGCTAAACCTAGGTCACCAAGGCTGGAAAGAAACAGGATACACATTAGAGCCTCGTTTCGTCGATACACGGCCATAACCTAGTAAAAGTAGCTCAAGTGTATGTAGGGGTCCGACTTCCCCTCATAAGTAGTGAATTTGGGCTGGTGGAAGCCTGAGGGTAATGGTGCGTTCTCTATTGTCGGAATGAACGGTGAGCTCTGCAACCTTGCTAACGCTTTGTCTGCTGGTTCATAGGCAAGGCGTGACTCTGGAATTCCAACCTCGACACTCCCATGTGTTCTAGGAGCCAATCGTTGTAGTTCGGAGACTCTGTGGGGGTCGTAAGCTTGAGTGTCTTCTCTCCTTCGAGCCCTTTTAGTCCTCATTCTCTTAGGCCCAGAGTAGCGTGTCCTGGAAGTCTTTGATTGTGTATCGCCCGACCTGAGGTTTCTACTTTCAGTTTGTGATGGTGTGACTTGTCTGTCACGATCTTCTGAGTGGCAAGAGGGTGTGTTGCCTTTGCGTCTCTCTTTTATTGCCACTCATTTGCGTTTTATCCGGCTCTTCATAGACTCTGTGTCAGCCGCCATTCTTCTTATTACTTCGTCTTGCTCCCTTACGCAATCTCCGAGAACCTGAGGATCCATCTTCCGCCTCTGCCTATCAGGGTTTTGAGATCGGTGTGGACTTGAGCCCCGTCTTTCTCTCGCTTCTCTCCGCGGATTCCTTCACTGGGGATCTAATTCTGCCATGGGTGGGATAGAATGTAAACTTTCGCGCCTCTCACCCTCTTTCGGTATTTGCCCATCAATAGCATATTGCGGCAAGTCTTCATTGTGCGCCATTACTTTCAAGTAGAGAGGAAAACTTGATCAAGAGGTTTTGCTCTTTGTGAAATTCCCACAAACGGCGCCAATTGTACGAGCACGAAATAATTCTTACTGTATGATCCTGTTGATCAAGTTTGCACTCCTCTAAACGTCGTCGCCTTGCCACCTGAAAACACAAACGTGAGCTAACCCGAGGGTGTGTGCCGGAAACCCCTCCGATGCCTAAGTCAGCAACTAGACCATAGACAATAAGCTATGTGTATTCTACAGTAAGAATTGGGATACCTGTACATAGGTCTGGTCATGAGCTTTTATAGACTTGGTTTGGCCCAATCTTAGTAAGATTCCAACTCTCCTTATAAGAGTCCTTCTAGGAATCACACACCCTACTCACTATCAACCAAGTGAGATGGTTTGCACAATCCTAGTAGGACTTTACTCTCCTTAGCAGAGTCCTCCTAGGAGTCACATTCCTACTCACTACCAACCAAGTGAGATGGTTTGCACAATCCCAGTAGGACTTTAACTCTCCTTAGCAGAGTCCTCCTAGGAGTCTCATCATTGCAAGCCAAGTGAGATGACTGAACCCTTTACCTCGGTTATACATTCTTGATCGAACTGCCTTATCTCGGTCCCCTGCCATTCGGACCATGTGATCGAAAGCCGATCTATCGAATGCCACCTTACTGAGCTATACACAGCTTGACCCTCGTCATTGATGTAACCTCTGCTCCGTGCTCAACATAGGCGAGCCGTGATGACCATGCTACAGGTTGGTATCTTGCCGAGCTACACCTAGCTCGGCCCATCGCCCTGCCATCATCCCGGTCAGAAGGTAAATAAGTCCCAATCCTAGCAACACATCCAACCGTCCTGGTACCTACCTCGACCCAATGCCGAAATACAAAATATCTCATTGGCCCATTGCGTGGCCCAACTTCCAAAGAAGACCCGTTTTAGCTCGGCCCAATTTGCTCACAAATTACCCTCTCAAAATGAAATAAACAAAATAAAAGAAAAAAATCAAGTAACCAAAAGTAAGAGAGTATTATTTCTTATACAATTTATCAATCAAACATGGGAATTTTTTTTTATTTATCTTTATTTCTTATAATTTCTCTCGTGAAATCATTTTATTCAAAAAAACTATAAATATTTTAGGAAAATAAATGATAGAGACACAAAATAAGCTGTTAGACCATCTCCAACGGTGAATCAGATTCATTATCAGATTTGAATTTGATGAAAAAGTACCACTTTTATCTCTCCAACAGTTTCACCAAAATGATATCAAATTGAGAATGAACCAAAACTTTCACCAAAATGAGGAGCTGGAGCATATTTCACCAAAACACTGTGTGTTTACGTTGAAGGTGGGCCCCATCGGACAACCGGCCGGATGTCCAGCCGATTGTCCCACCGGTCGTCCCATGCATACAAAAAATTGCAAAGCTGTTATACAGTGCTTCAGTGTTTGATTGGCCTGCGAATTGTTTCACAATTAGGTTATTTTTGTGGCACTAACAATAAATTCAAGGTTGATATAGATTTAAATTTCTATCAAAATGCAACATGAAATTGTTGCATGGTATATAGATTTAAATTTGTATCAAATATAGCCGTTCTGAACCTACAACTCTAATAAGTTACCATTGGTGTTACAGAGTATTTGACAAACTTACCGTTGCTATGATCTATAAAATATACCAATTTTTAAACTTTACTATATCATTAGAATTTCTATTTTCTTTATAAGCTTCAGTTTGATAATATCATTACAATTTCTATTTTCTTTGTGAGCTTCAGTGTATATTATCTGTTTCTCAGCATCAGTGTATATCAGTACAATATATTTCATTGTCTAAGTTGGATGTTGTATCCTACTGAATTTTCTTCAAACTATGGAAGATTTTGAAATGTTTAAAGAATCACAAACTTCAGAGCACAACAATGATATTAATTTTATTTCGGAAACTTCTCGTGTTTCTCGTGGTAAAGTGTTCAGAATTATAGAAGATGAAACTTTATGTAGACCTTGATTGGCAGTCTCTCAAGTTCCCATTACTAGTAATAGTTAGACCATAACAATATTTTGGAAACGAGTACTAGTTTATTTTAATTCACAATTGAGCGGTGAATCAAATCGAAGCCATATTTCTTTGTTTCACCGTTGGTCTGTCATGCAAAAAGCAATTAATAAATTCTATGATTTTCTTTAGCAAATTCAATTGAGGCAACAAAGTGGAACAACTGAGGCAGACATGGTAATTTTTATTTTTATTATTAAATATCAATTTTCTTTTGTAAGTATACTTGTTATCGATATGTTTTTAATTTTTATTTTGTAGATCGCTGAAACGAAGCGGATGTATCATGCAATACAAAAAAAACACTTCACATTTGATACAAGTTGGGATATTTTGCGCCGAAATTTTAAGTGGGATGAGTTTAGAACACAACAAAAAAAAACCACGCAACATGCATATCAAGATTCAAATCCACCAACTGAAGATGAGGCTTTTCAACCCAACTACAATATTGCGGGGGGGACCAACAACTAACTAATACATCAACACGACCAATTGGTACTAAGGCTGTGAAAGAGAAGTTGAAGAATCAAACAACTCACGATGTTAGATTTGATGAAATGGCTGCCAACCAATCTAAAATTGTTGAATTATTATCATCTATCTCCGCTAGAACTGTTAAGTGGGATGAACAAAAAGTGATAGATCGTGAACAGAAGGCTGCAGAGCATCGAAGAAGGGCCGAGGATAGGGAGGAACAACTTAAAATTTTATATATGATGAATGAAAGAGAAACAACGAAATGAAGATCATAGAATAATGTCAATGGACATGACAAATTTAAATCATATGCAAAGGGTGTACTATGAAGAGTTTCAACGATAAATCTTATTTCAATCAACAAATTAATTTCCTTGACTGTTTCTATATTGCATTACTTATTTCAATCAACAATTTCTTGCATTTTAATCTATTTATGTATTGCATTTTATTCTATTTTAATCTATTTTTGTATCGGAATTATATATATGTTCATGGTGGGTTGTATTGGTTTTATTATTTAAAAACAATTACAGTTCATGTTGATGGTGGGTTGTATTAGTTGTATTGGAATTATTTGTACCGTTTTTATTATTTAAATCATTGCGGAGGGCATGATGTGCATTTTTATCTCTAATACCTAAATGACGAGAGAAAAATGATTGGAAGTCATTGTTAGTACTACAGAAAAGTTCTACTAGTGAGTTGGTTGATGAAGTATCATAATCGAAATTAAGATGCTCATATCTCTTATCTTCGACAATCATATTATGTAATGTAACGCAACTCTTCATTATTCTTCCAAGCATTTTCGGATCCCAAAAATGTACGGCACCACCTATAATTGCAAATCGAGATTGGAGCACTCCGAATGCCCGCTTTACATTCTTCCTTGCTGACTCTTGCATCATTTCAAAATGTTGCTTCTTTGCTCCTTAGGGAGAAGAGATTGTTTAAACTAGTGTTACCCACTAAGGGTATATATCATCAACAAGGTAATAACCCATATTATAACTCTGTCCATTAATAGTGTAATGGACAAGGGGAGCTTTACCTTGGGCAAGATCAGAAAACAAGGACGATCGATCCAATACATTCAAGTCATTGTGTGATCCAGGCATTCTAAAAAATGCATGACAAATCCACAAGTCATTAGAAGCTACTGCTTTAAGAATGATGGTTGGCTTTTTCTGATGGCTTACGTATTAACCTTGCCATGTCTTTGGACAATTTTTTCACTCCCATTGCATGCAATCTAAACTTCCCAACGAACCTCTCCAATAACAAGTAATCTAGCAATATCAGTTGATGTTGGAGATCTTAGGTATTTTGGTCCAAAGATTTCAATTACTGAATTACAAAAGTGTTGCAAATTTTGAATTGCAGTGCTTCCCTCAATACGTATATTATCATCAACTGCATCTACTGTCACTCTATATGACAATATTCTCATTGCTGAAGTCATCATTTGTAGGGGAGACAATCCAAGAATATGAGCTGTATCTTGTTTTTGAACAAAATATGGATCATGTGCTTCAATAGCATTCAAAATTCGCAGATACAGAGGATGACGCATTCGAAAACGTCTTCGAAATGTTGCAGGTGAATAAATTGGACCTGCCGCAAAATAATCAGCGAAAATCACTCATGAACCTTCCATCTATCACGACGTATGTATTTATGTCCTAAAACAGAACCACCTCTTTTCTTTGATCGATCAGTTAATTGCAAAATCTGAATCATACTAGCATTATTTATCTCATAAACCCCCAAAAGTGTGACAATTTTTTCATCATCAGACTCACTATCAGAGGATGAGGAAGAAGAAGAGGATGAAAATGAAGTGAATAGGTAAGAATTTGAGGTACTCATTATGTTCTGCTTTCAGTTATGGTGCCTTCCAGATATAACGTACCTCTTGTGTGGTATATGGTACATGGATTAATGTGTTTATATCAGTTCTTTGAAGGAAATCATTATTGGAGGCAACAAAAAATGAAAAATATTTAATGGAGGGAAAAAGAAATGGGAAACAGAAATGGAGGGGGAAAAAAAAAATCAGTGCCCTTACTGGTCAACCGACCGGTTGTCCCACAAGACGTCCCCAGTATTTTGATGCAAGCTACAGTGTAACAGTTAGAGCGGCTCATATCAGATTGAGGAATTTAAATTTTTTTGACTCAAATTTAATGAAAAAATTATTAAATCGTTGAAAATACTCTTAGTCTAAGTTATCATATTAAATATAGACATTTTACTTAGAATGTACAAACCTAACTGTCACCATCTAAAAATCAGATTTATCATAAGAATAAAGCTTGAGAGCTCGAATTGGCGTCCCCCGAATCCCCCGAATTGCTGAAACGACGTCGTTTCAGCAATTCAATTTTTTTTTTTTTTTTTTTCTTCCTCCAGTCTGAAACGGGGTGAGGGTGAGGGTGAGGGTGAGGGAGAGGGAGATTGAGAGAAAGAGAAAGAGAAAGAGAGGGAGAGGGAGAGAAAGAGAGAGAGGGGAAGCAGATCGCGTCGCCTCCACCGCCGATCAAAAGCACCAATAATATCTGATTGAACTAAAACTTTCAGGCAATGTGAAAGTTCAATAATATCGGAATGTCCTAAATTTTCAGGCAAATTTTCCAGACAATGTGAAAGTTCACAGACTAGCCCAAAAGCACCAATAATATCTGATTGAACTGAAACTTTCAGACAATGTGAATGTTCACATCGTAGAACATTAACACCACCGACATCTGACTCTCCTAAAATTTCCAGCAAATGTGAATGTTGACAGCATAGAACAACAACACCAAAAATATCTGACTGTCCAAAAATTTTCAGGCAATGCGAATGTTCACAGCCTATAACAAGATAAACCAATAATATCTGATTGTCCTACAATGTTCAGGCAATGTGAATGTTCACAGCTTCCAACAACAAGAACAACAACAGAATTGGCGAAAGTGTGTCAATGCCTGTGAATTTTCACAGCATACAACAACAACACCATTAATACCTGATTACGCAAACATTTTAACTGAATGTGAATGTTCATATCTGTTACCAACAGCAACAGAAAAAGAACTGGCCAAAAAAAATTTCAAAACAAGTCAATGGGCACAGCATTGAACAACAACGGGGTAACATCTGGAATAATTTGATCATCAAACCATTTCCAATCAATGTCAATGTTCACATTTTTCAATAACAACAACTACAACTAGAACATTTTCGATTGTTGACAGTTGTGAACACAATGTAATGGCAAGTGTAATGTTTTTGAGTGCAAAAATGAAAGAATTTAGGGATTACGATTGAGGGGTTCAGAATTAGTTACTGATTATTTTTAAATTGTACAAATTCACTCTCTATAAGTTGTAAAAAAAGATCTAGTGTTTGCACGGCCTTCACATCTATATCTATGAAAACAGTGTTTGAACTATAAAATTTAACAATTTGGACTCAAAAAAAAAAAAATTTCTTACAATTAAATTTCATGGATTGTCTTACCATTCTTATTTTTTGTAACTCAATATAAATATAAGAAAATATTTTATTTATATATGTTTTCATGATATTTTTCATATTTTTTATTGGTAGAAATCAAGGTTGTCAGTTATATATATTTTTAAATTTTTTATTAGTATATATATTCGCCCCTTATTAGAATTCCGAGTCCATCTCTAATCACGTGATCATATTGTTTAATTATAATTTTTTTTTTTGTTTTTTAATTTTTTTTTTGTTGTTAATGTCATCTATATTTACAAAACCCAACATTAAGCCTTCAGTTGGGCTTATTGGCCTTTAAGGTGGCCCAATTCAAGTTAATCAAGGTCGTCATAGCACAAAATTTTCGACTATTTTTATATTATTTTAATATAAACCCAAAGAGTGAGAGTGATATTTTTGATAATTCTTATACACTAAGGAGTGATTTGAAAAGTTGGTTAAAAACTAAATTTTTAGTTTTTTTTTTTTTTTTTTTTGACAATGTGAGGTGATGTGCGACCCAAAATGAGTTAAAAACTAAAAATTAACTTTTTTTTTTTGGGTTCCCAAGTGACGTGTAAAGAAAGTTATTATTATTGCGTATGTTATTTGTTAAATTATAATTGTTTATTATCTTAATTTAGCTTGTTGTAATAATAATAATAATAATAAAAAAAAAGAGTGGTTGGGCATGGAAGTTAGGTAGTCACTACTCACTAGTCTGAACACCAATCCAGATAATTTCATGCTCTCCGATCCATTGGGCCAAAGGGCTATGAGGCCCATAATTCAAACTACCTCAAACCCATTCAGCCCAATGTGATAGATCCGCATTAAACGCTCTCTATCTCTATTTGTTTTTCTTTCTAGATCAGTTACCTATGAAGGCTTTTGGTGATTGAATCATAATCTGAAGCATTGAGGTTCGTCAATCACATTCACAGATCCACATTTTTCTTTTTCAAAATCATTCAACGATCTTTTAGATTTTTAGTTTGATTTTCAAATTCTAGATCTGAATTTATAGTTATTGTCAGTGTGCAATTTGATTTGAATTACTACTGATTTTTTTAAAAATATTTATTTTGTGTAGAGATCTAGATTGAAAGAGAGAGAGTTGAAAATGGAGAAGTCTTGCACATTGTTGGTCCATTTTGACAAAGGAACACCGGCACTCGCGAACGAGATCAAGGAAGCATTGGAAGGGAATGATGTTTACGCAAAGATCGACGCTTTGAAGAAAGCAATCATGCTTTTGTTGAATGGCGAAACCATGCCGCAGTTGTTTATCACCATTGTTCGGTACGTTCTTCCTTCCGAAGACCATACGATTCAGAAACTATTGCTTTTGTATTTTGAAATTATTGAAAAAACTGATTCGAAAGGGAGAGTCTTGCAAGAAATGATTTTGATTTGTCAAAACCTGTTGAACAATCTAAATCACCCTAACGAGTACATCAGAGGGGTCACACTTCGGTTTCTTTGTCGGTTGAAAGAAACCGAGGTTATTGAGCCTTTGATCCCAACCGTTTTAACGAATTTAGAGCATCGCCATCCGTTTGTTCGAAGGAATGCGATTTTAGCTGTGATGTCAATATATAAGCTTCCCCAAGGGGAACAGTTGTTGGATAATGCACCTGATTTGATTGAGAAGGTTCTTTTGACTGAACAAGATCAGTCAGCAAAGCGAAATGCATTCCTTATGTTGTTCAATTCTGCACAAGATAGGGCGGTTAATTACCTTTTCACCCATGTCGATAGAATTATCGATTGGAATGAACAGCTTCAGATGGTGGTGTTGGAGTTGATTCGTAAGGTTTGCAGAGCAAACAGGGGAGAGAAGGGGAAGTACATAAAGATCATCATATCGTTGCTTAATGCCCCGTCAGCAGCAGTAATTTATGAATGTGCTGGGACTCTTGTTTCTTTATCCTCGGCTCCTACGGCAATCAGGGCTGCTGCGAATACTTATTGCCAGCTTTTAGTGTCACAAAGTGACAACAATGTTAAGCTTATTGTGCTTGACCGGCTCAACGAGCTTAAATCTTCACATAGAGAGATTATGGTTGATATGATAATGGATGTTCTTAGGGCACTTTCAAGCCCAAATCTTGATATTCGTAGGAAAACTATTGACATTGCTCTGGAGTTGATAACTCCTAGGAACATTGATGAAGTTGTTCTTGTGCTAAAGAAAGAAGTTATGAAGACTCAGAGTGCAGATCAAGAGAAAAATGGGGAGTATAGGCAAATGCTTGTGCAAGCTATTCATTCTTGTGCAATCAAATTTCCGGAGGTGGCAAGCACAGTTGTGCATCTTCTGATGGATTTCTTGGGAGATAGCAATGTTGCCTCGGCTATTGATGTGGTTGTCTTTGTGCGGGAGATAATTGAAACAAACCCAAAATTGAGGATGTCTATAGTAACTAGGCTTTTGGACACCTTCTATCAAATCCGGGCTGCACGGGTGTGTTCTTGTTCTCTTTGGATCATTGGTGAGTACTGCCTTTCACTTTCCGAAGTTGAGAGTGGGATTGTGACTATTAAGCAGTGCCTTGGGGACCTCCCCTTCTACACCCCTCCAGTGGAAGGGGATGGTCAGGATACTTTGAAGAATTCTCAGCAAGCAAACTCCATCACAGTATCTTCTAGAAGGCCTGCAATTCTTGCGGATGGGACCTATGCTACCCAGAGTGCTGCCTTGGAAACTGCCATGTCACCTCCATCACTTGTTCAAGGATCATTGGTATCTATTGGAAACTTGAGATCACTGATTCTTGCCGGTGATTTTTTCCTTGGTGCAGTTGTGGCATGCTCACTGACAAAACTTGTTTTGAGATTGGAAGAGGTTCAGCCATCTAAAGCTGAAGTGAATAAAGCAACTACCCAGGCCTTATTGGTTATGGTCTCTATGCTACAACTGGGACAATCGTCATTTCTTCCACACCCAATTGACAGTGATTCTTATGATAGGATTGTCCTATGCATCAGATTGCTTTGTGGTACTGGTGATGAGGTAAGGAAGATATGGTTGCAATCTTGCCGACAGAGTTTTGTAAAAATGCTCGCGGATAAGCAGTTTCGTGAAACAGAGGAAATGAAAGCGAAGGCTCAGATATGTCATGCCCAGCCCGATGACCTTATTGATTTCTACCATTTGAAGAGCAGGAAGGTAATAGAAATTTTCCTTTTATTGTCTTTCTCTTGATGTGGAATTAGCTGGCCTTATAAAATTTGATGGGTGTTTCTTTTGTTTTGATTAGATAATTACTATAGACAACTTCTCGTATTAAGCTGATGTTAGATAATTTTGTTAATTTCAAGCCATAAAAGACAGGCGGTTGATCCTGATTTACTTCCTAATGTTCTGTTTATTTTTGTACTTTCAAATTTTCTTGGAAATGACATATTGAGTCAATTTATATGTGTATAGCCGTTTTTTTTTTGTTTTTTTTTCTCTAGTGAATTGTTTATTTATAAAGTGTGGTTTGTTGACAAATTTCTGCTATTTGTTTGATGTCCATATGGGAAATGCAATGTGTTTTTGTAAATTTCTTTCTTTCCTTTTCCTGGGTTGTTGCTTTGTATTATATCTTAAAACTTATGGTTGTTAGGAGGCTTCATGAATTGAGGTTAGAGATAGATAATCAGCAATTTTAATTTTTTATCTCATGCTATGTACTAAATTTAGCAGAGTAATGTGTTTGAAGGTGAACAGTGTAAATGGACAATTGCTTAGATCTTTTGTAATGTTGAATATGATAAGGAGCTATCTTACTGATAATTCCATCTATTTGTATAGTTTTTCAGTTTTGTTTGTTTGTTTGTTTGTTTGTGTAAGAAATAATGTATAGAGAAAGAGAGAGAATAAATTGTATGTATTATTATTGATTGATATATTGATATGTTACAATGATTCCTATATATAGAAGAGTAGGTGGTAGTAGGTGGTAGGTGGAGTAGGTGAAGTGGAGGTGGTAGTGGTATAGTGGGTTAGGTTTAGTGGAGTAGGTGAAGTGGAGGTGATAGTGGTGTAGTGGGTTAGGTTTAGTGGAGTAGGTGAGGTGGTAGTGGTGTAGTGGGTGGATTTTAACAGTTTGTTTGTTTTGTTATTGGTCAATTGTATGTTTTGCTCTTTCTCCTCCAATTAATGGTTATCTTGCATTTATCTTATTGCTATTTTTCTTTTCTAAAATCCACATAATTGTCAGGGTATGAGCCAGCTCGAGTTGGAAGATGAGGTGCAGGATGATCTAAAACGTGCCACTGGAGAGTTCATAAATGACAGTGATGATGCAAATAAACTTAATCGCATTCTTCAGCTCACAGGATTCAGTGATCCTGTCTATGCCGAAGCATATGTTACAGTTCATCATTATGACATTGTCCTAGATGTTACTGTCATCAACCGCACCAAGGAGACCCTCCAAAATTTATGCTTGGAGTTGGCAACCATGGGTGATCTCAAACTTGTGGAGCGTCCACAAAACTACACTCTAGCACCAGAAACAAGCAAGCAGATAAGGGCCAATATTAAGGTTTCTTCAACTGAAACAGGAGTTATATTTGGGAATATTGTCTATGAGACTTCAAATGTGTTCGAGCGAAATGTTGTTGTCCTCAATGACATTCACATTGATATAATGGATTACATTTCTCCTGCAACTTGTGCCGATGTGGCATTTAGAACTATGTGGGCTGAATTTGAGTGGGAAAACAAGGTATATCTTCTTTTCTTGTTTATGATTATGATATTTTATATTTTATCAATTTATCTACTAAAATTAAGCTTGTTTCATATATTTTCTAAACAATTTTGGGAACAAACACAATTATTTCCTGCAGATCGTGTAAATATTTTCTGTAACTTGAGATGATCTAATTATTAATAAATCATTCCAGTGTTTCATGCTGAAACTTTTGAAAAGAATTGGAAAGAAATCCAGTTTCTTTACCCAGCATCCTTTTTCATGCTTCTCACCATTTGTGTCATGTAGATGACGTTGATGTATGTTTGGCTGGGATGCTGATGAGGATAAGGATTCTCGTGTAGGACTGTTCTTTTTGATGATTACTTTGTTGGTTGATTGTAGACAATTCATATCCATCCATGGCTAATACCAATCTGTATACTTAGCAGGGAGCTCCATTAATCTACTCTGTATGATATAGTAAATTCACAAACATGCATGTGTGAAATGCAGCTTTGTAGACTTTACTGCTTGCTTATCTATTTAGTTGCAACTTGCAAGTTAAAAAAACAAAGCTATTGAAAGCTCCTGATACTAGATGTTTGTAAGATTCCAATATTCAAGCACTCATTATATGCTGTTGCATTTCTGTTTGGATGTTTTCTTGTTTGATTAGTTTTGGGTCAGTACATTCGCAACTTTCCATGTTTTAACTTTTAGGTTATTGCCATTCTGCCTTACTAGACACACATTATGAAGCTTAAGTTAGATTTTAACAGGACTTATCTTTCTGCATATTATTCTCTAATGTTTTCTTCGGTAACTCGAGTTTTCTAATCTTGCTGGTGTATTGATGATGCATTGTGGATTCAATATTAAAAAAAATTAATATGCTGTTACCAATTCTCAGGTTGCGGTAAACACTGTTATTCAAGCTGAGAAGGAATTTCTGAACCATATCATCAAGTCGACAAATATGAAGTGCCTAACTCCACTGTAAGTTCATCAAAACTCTTTCTTACTCGAGTCTCTCCTAATAACAACTACAATGCTCTGGCTCTTCATCTTCTCACCTTCTCTTAGTTTCTGATAGCCATATATATCTCATCATGTTTGCTGATTGGGTAAATCAGGTCGGCACTGGAAGGCGAGTGCGGATTCCTGGCTGCTAACCTGTACGCGAAAAGTATATTTGGGGAGGATGCTTTGGTAAATGTGAGCATTGAGAAACAAGCAGATGGAAAGCTGAGTGGGTACATCAGAATAAGGAGCAAGACTCAAGGAATTGCTCTTAGCCTGGGGGACAAGATCACTCTCAAACAGAAGGGAGGCTCTTGAATTGAGTCTAGGCATCATAGTTTTTTTCTACCTTTCTTCCTCTTTGACATTATTTACTCCATGTTGGTACCAATTAGAGGTACAATTTTTTCCATTTTTTCACCCCATTCTGTGTCTAAATTTTCGCTTTTGGACTAAAATGAAAGGGGTGCTCTACTTGATTGTATCTCGGAAACAGATGACATTCATTTTGTTATTCTGCAAATTTATAGTTTCTTTCCTCTTCATGCCTTGTATTCTTTTCTGTCATGTTCTTTTTTCTCCCCCATCTTGTCATTATTGTCATTTCTCTTTTTGAGACTTTAATATCTTGTTCACTTAGTTGAGAATGGTTTCTCATAGATACTCTGCAAAATGATTTAGATATTTTCAGTATTTTTTTTCGAACTTCTGGTGAATTTGAAGAGGAACCTAGGTTGGTTACTGGTGGTTGGTTCATGTTCTATGAAATTAGTAATGAATTAAAAGTTAGGTTAGAAGAGTTTTGGGTTTGAAGGTATAGTATGATTTGGTGGACGGCTGATTCGTAAAAGTATGTCGGACGTGATGTTCCATGTAGGATTCTCAACTCTTGTTTCATGCATTTACAATTACGAGATTTATTTTTAAACTTAAAGACAATGAGGTCTTGTTAATGAAAATAATGAAATAGGACTGAATTTTATTTTTCGGGGGAGATTCACCCGAATCTCTCTTAAAGTAATTAGGTCAGCTACTTATGTACAGCTTAATAGAGTTATTTTATTTTATTACACTGCGTAACAATTTATAAAAAAAAAAAAAAAAAATCAAGATTACTACTCTCTACATGAACAACCTGAGCAACCTCCAAATTAATTCCTACCTACCAAAGATAATACTTGCAATTTCTAAGTTCTTTGCTTTTGGGTTTCAACATGTACAAGAGAATAAAATGCCTTCTTCCCCTAATCAAATCATGATCGCTTAAGCTTCTTATCTTATTAGTGGGTTTTGTTCGCTTCACACCATTATCCAATGGAAAAATTCCCTAATTTAGCTTTAATATATAATGATATACAAACAACAAAAGTTATACAAAACTATTATAGACTAAGTTTGTATACATTATTTTTTTTAGAACAATTCATTTAATATCTTTATTTTAAAATGAAAAATGCTAAAAACAGCTATTGGTCTGTTGTTAGTCTTGAAAAATATGTAAAAAGTATTTTGGGATACGTAAAAAGTGTATTGAAATTATTATTTTTTTGTCATTTTGTACTTGTTATTGACAATTCTTAAGATTATCATTAGCAGGACCTAAAACATGCCATTGTCACTGTGACAACATTGGTGTATGAATATCATTTTGGGTTATTTATATCAAATATCCCTCAACTATTAGCGAATATTATTTTACTCTTTTCATCTATGAATTTGTATATATTAATTCTCTCAACTATAAAAATATATCATTTTCACCCCTGCTGACTACCTCAAAAAATGATGTATTTGTATGAATTTTATACTTGATTAAGGCGGTCAATATGTACGGATTTATGGATGAGGAAGGTGAAGTGATATTAAGGGGTGTTTTGGCAACACATTAAAAATGTCAAAAGCCAGCTTTTAACTCATTTTGAGTCACATTACCTCTCACATGAAACAGTAAAAAGAGTCGCGCAAAAAAAAAAAAAAAGAAGTTAAAAAATTAACTTATAATCATTTTCTCAAAACATCCATAATTAATAGTTGAGGTTTTTGTGTAATTAACCCTGTCGTCATTTACACGCTTGTTGAGGGTTCCATGAGTTGCCTAGAATTCGTACATAAAATTATTACATAATGAGGTGACCTTAAAAGAATTGTGACTTGTGAGGATGAGTACATTGATGGTAAAGAAATCTGTTTTTATCACTTTATATATATGTGTAGCTTATCTACTCATGCAATTACAATCCCATTCAAGAAACCCACCGGCTTGGTGGTTGTGGATTCCTCAAATTCCTGTTATTGCAGTGAAGTTGGTTTGAATCTGTCAGCCTTCTTTTAACTCAATTTGGTGAGTTAGTTGGAGAGAAAGTTTTAGTGAAATTTTACTACTTCTCAAATGTATATTTTATCCATCTCTCTCTCTATCTCTCTTTAAAACTCACTCAACTAGTTTATTCAAGTGAATGATCATCACATCCATGGTTAAGGCTTTGTTTGGCAATGGCAGAGTTTGAAAGCACAGACAATCTTGTCATTGCTAGCAGAGTTCTAAGAACCACCTTACAAAAATCAAGAGATTTAACTTCTGCAATCGACAAAACTGGCCCGAGATTGGAATCCATAAGCCAAACACTACCATCACTAGAAGAGGCTATAAAAAGCATTGCGCAAAAGTGTTCTCTTGTCGCGATCAGAGGACACGTTGATCGTGCTATTGGCCCCGCTGCAGCTGTTCTAAAGGTTTTCGATACAGTCAATGGCCTCCAAGGATCGCTGTCGTGTGATCCCTCTTCTCATCTCTTTCGCTATCTTTCTTTAGTGAAACAGCTCGAAGAGGCACTTAAATTTCTAAGCGGTAATTGCGCATTGGTGATTCAGTGGTTAGAGGATGTTGTGCAGTTCTTGAAAGACAATACTGTTGATGATGATTTTTACCTTTCGAATGTGAGGAAGTTCTTGAAGATTCTTGGAGAGTTACAAGCAATGGAGGCACGGTCACGCCACGTTGGAGGTCCTCTGTTTGGTGCACTGGAAAAACTGGAATGTGAATTCAAACACATTTTGATGGAAAACAGTTTTCCAATCCCTTTCTCAGAACAAGCCTGCGTTTCTTCACTGCCTCTGCCAGAACCTGTAATTCAGAAATTGCAGGCTATCATTGAGCGATTAAACGCTAACAATCGGATTGAAAAGTGTGTGGCGATTTATGCTGAGGTTCGGAGTTCAAATGCTAGGGCTACAATGCAAGCTCTTGATTTGGATTACCTTGACATTTCACTATCTGAATTTGATAGAGTGCAAAGCATAGAGGATCACATAGATCAGTGGGAAAACCATTTGGAATTTGCTGTAATGCACGTTTTTGATATCGAACACAGACTTTGCAGCGATGTTTTTCACAAGGTTGGTTCGGATGTTTGGATGAGCTGCTTCGCAAAGATTGCTGTCCAATCCGGAATCCATAATTTCATCAAATTTGGGAACAGTATTACAAAGGGTAAGAAAGATGCAATCAAGCTGTTGAAGTTGTTGGACATTTTTGCGGTTCTGAGCAAGCTGAGATTGCATTTCAACTATTTGTTTGGTGGGAAAGCGTGTGTGGAAATTCAGGATCAGACGAGGGATTTAATCAAGAAAGTAGTAGATGGGGCATGCGAAATTTTCTTGGAGCTTTCTTATCAAGTGGAGTTACAAAGACAATCCACGCCTCCCTCTGATGGCAGTGTTCCAAGGCTGCTCAATTTTGTCATTGACTTCTGCAATCAGCTGCTTGAGGATGATTACAGACTAATCTTGATTCAGGTTCTTGAGATTCATCAGATTTGGAATTACCAAAATTTCGACAGTGAAATTCTTTCAAAAGAGGTCTATAAGATAATGAGCGCAATTGAATTGAACTTGGAGACATGGTCGAAGACATATAAAGACTCAACCCTGTCCTGTCTTTTCATGATGAACGCGAATTGGAACATCTTCAAGAGCTTAAAAGGGACAAATCTCGGTGACATGATGGGCGATTCGTGGCTGAGACACCACGAGCAGGCAGTGGAGTATTATGCAACCGTCTACGTGAGACAAAGTTGGGGAAAGCTTCCTGCTCTATTGAGTGAGGAGGGTAGTTTAGTCTTTTCCTCTAATGATTTGGTGAAGAAGAGACTCAAATCATTCAATGAGGCATTTGATGAAATCTATAAGAAGCAATCCAATTGGGTTGTGTTAGATAGAGGGTTGAGAGTGAAGATATGTGAACTTGTGGTTCGGATTGTTGTTCCTGTTTATGAGAGGTTTATGAAGAGTTATATGCCTTGGGCTGAGCAAGGAACAAGCCCAACCAAGTATGTGAAATACACAGTGGATAGTTTAGAGAGTATGATTAGGTCTATGTTGCAATCAAAACTAGGGAAGTATGATAGTAGTAGCACCAAATGTAGACACTTGATTGGTAAGATCAAGAATGTTGTCACCAATCACTTTTCCTCGAGTCCTGCAGCTGCATGATTGTCTAATTTGTCTGATTATCGTTATACACAAATGTACGAGTCTCACTTGTATTTATTTTTTTTTGTCTAGTCATAAAAATATTTGTAAGAAATCTGTTTATGTATAACATTACTCTTGTAATCATTAACTTTACATAGAGAAACTTGAAATGTTCATTCGTGGGTTACACTGTTTGGTATCATTTTTATTTTTGTTGTTTTTATTTTTCAGAAAACACATAAAACTTGTTTAGCGAAAATTTCTAAAAACTGTTTTGGGAATTTTTATTTTTTTAGTGCCACCCATTTGTTAGAAAACACACAAAAAAATGTTTTTAAAAATTGGAAGACTGTTTTGAACAAAAATGAAAACCAGTAAGATTTTTCTTGTGGATGGCTTCCAGTATTCTGATAATGACTTTCTGTTATAAATTAAACCACAAATTGCTGAACCTTTTGAATATATTAATAATCAAGATCAGAATGAAAAGGTTGGTATGACCATGAAAAGAAAAAGCTGCCCTCTTAGATCTGTCCAGTTGTTTCAACCACCATATATATATTTGCTCAATTGTATCTTTATTCAATCTTTCCATTATTTCCCCCTCCCCCTCTTCCTTTAACTTTACTGGGTGGCATTACACTTTTGTTTTGATCATGAGGAAAGAGGGTTATCTTTATTTAATTTTTCTTTTCTGTCTTTTCTACACAAATTTGACAGTAGATGTTTGGTGGTTCAACTACCGAAGTATGAAACCTGGTGAAAGGGGAAATGCAGCCTCTATGTTAAAATATATTAGGAGTATATTAGCTAGTTGTATATGAGTTGTCTACCAACAACTCTCATGATGTTGTTCCTTAGTGCATTGCCCCTTTCGGCCACTTTTGGCCCCCTGTACACACTCTCCCCTATAAAGGAGAGTCTTCTCTGAACATTGTAAATATAACATATCAATACATCAATCAATACAAATCAATAATATACATCAATTTATTTAACATGGTATCAGAGCAAGGTTAACAACCTCGTTATTCTGCTTCACCGGCGGGCGGCAGCCTCGCCTTGGCCGCCCGCCGGACCTCTACACATACCTTCCATCCGCTGCCACGAATCCCATAACTGAATCATCGGAATAGTCGCCGTCATCCACGGCTTCACCGGCGAGTCGAGCTGGCTCATTCAGCTCACCTCCGTCCTCTTCGCCAAGTCCGGCTTCGCCACTTGCGCCATCTTCTTCTTCCATGCACACAGCATGTTTGCCTGCCCTTTTGTTGATGTAATCCATCTTCACCACTTCGATCTGAGAAGTAAGACCCTTTTCTCTGCAGAACTCAAGCACCTCCTCTGTCTCCTTCATGCTCCCTATGAAGCTCCCTGTTATGATCTTCCTCCACCAGAAGAGTCACCATTCGAAGAAATCCAGTATAAGGGTTTTTAACCCGATTTCATACTAACTCGACTTGCTAAGTTCGGGCATAGGCTCGGCGTTTCTTTAGTGGCAATACCAGTAGCTGGCCACATTAGCATACCTGACGAAGCTCTAGTCCCACACAGAACACTTTTAAGGGAGCTAACCCGGAGGGACCAAATAATATACCAAAAATTAATTTAATAGCGCAATGGTCGGCAGGAGTAGGCAGATATAATTAGTAATATAAACATCCCACTGTGACCATTTGTGTTGGTTTGGTTTGGATTATTTTTGTTGATATGTTTAGATGTGTTGTTGTAATTGTATTATATCTTTTTTTTTTTGAATTATAATTATATACTAATGAAATAGTCTATATTTGAGATGTGTGACACAATTGATGGCGGGAGGTGAACGGTCACCGACATGAAACCCAGACCATAAAGTTTGGAATGTCGCCACAGCGTCTGCCTCTCTTCTCTGTTCTTGTTTTTTTTTTTTCTCCTTTCGTTCTTTTCCGTTTTTTCTTGGATGGTTCTGTTCTAATGAAAAGCGCAATACAAAGGAATATATAACTAAATCACTTGAGAATAAAAATAAACAGATAAGAAAGTGGAGTGCAGAGAGAGGGGAGCAATACCCTGCCAGTAACCGGCTGAAAGTGGAATTACCCAAGACTCGGCAAGAACATGGTGATTGTGTCGGTTCCCACTGGGTAGTCCGGCAGGGTCACATTTTTATTATTATATCTCATTCGTTGTCTATGTATGTAATAGATTTTGCTCTTTTGTTGTCGTTTTTTTGTGCAACACAAGGGGACACTCCAGTGGATTAGAAAACAATGCGTCGCCCTCCGGGTGAGGGTCGTCACGGCCATTTAAGATATATTTGTTCTTGTGTGTCATTGTATACCTTTTTAGTTTTATCTAGACTCGACAAATAAAGAAAATAAAGCAATAAAAGACAAAGAGAGAACAAGTGCGAGCGAGGTGTAAGATGTTCAAGTGGAGATGGGATTAAGCAAGTCTGAAACAAAATGATTACAAAACATATAAAGAATTCCACATAAATATCAGAGGAGGATGAAATGAGGATGAAAATCAAAATGCGTGCGAGTAGGGGCATGTGCCCTTGCGAGAAGTGATGCACTATACTAGGAGAGAATAAGAGAAAGTGCTACGCAAAACTGAGTCAAACGCTAAAAACGCAAATTCGGCGAGGGAACACTATGTGCCTCACTAAAGAGAAGAGAATACATAAAAGTATGCAAAAATGGAGGTGTTTGTGATTTCTCCTATATATGGCCCTATTACATAAAACACCATAAAATTCAATAAGCTCTTATATTATTCAGATAGGGCTCAGGAATCTATACCATCATGGACTAAAGTGAATCCACTCAGCAGAACAAATGCATCCGGAAAAGAATTTAGTGACTCTACCTGTACTTCCAAGGATTATGGACACTCCCAATTCAGACACGCGGGCCACGAGCTTACTCGGAAAGGCAATTAAGTTGCCTCGCAAAGCGTAATGGCGGTATGGGAATGCAACCATGCGCAGAAGTCTAGGGCGGCGAGAGACAAGAGCTCCATCATAGCTCGAAGAGCCTCGAGGCTAGCGATTTCCATTCCCAGCGAGTTATGGCGGCAATATTATTTGCAGCATCAGTCGATGAGACGCGTCCGAGCATGACCCTCAGATTAGGAAGCAGCTCCAGTATACGGTAATAGTGACTCATACATAGCGCCTTAATCATATGAGGAGTCACGCGGGAGTAGACACAGCACTCACGTGAGTATAACAAAAGAAACACAACAAGCCAGCAGTACCAAAACACAGTGGCCATTAGCAGAACCCCACAATGAGCCAAGAGAAAACGACAATAATGAGTGCCACCTTTGAAACAAACACACCATCAAAGCCCACAATACACATACGAATCTTATATCAGCTCTGTAAATAATCAACAACCAACACCGAATAGAGGAAGTAAACAAATGTCCCTGCAACATGTTAGCGTGGTTTAAGTTTGGGCACAACCACAGCAGAGGGCGGGAGAAGCACATACCACCGAGTGATCAAAGTATAGTGTACAGGCCGGCGGCGCGGCAAGGCGAGGCTGCCGCCCGCCGGTGAAGCAAGATAACGAGGTTGTTAACCTTGCTCTGAACCGATGTGTAAGCAGTATTTGAGAAAAGAAGAACATTTACAGAATGTAGTGATTATTAGGAGCATTAGAGGCCACATACTATTGTATGAGTCTCTGGATGAAAATCATGAGTCACTTACAAATACATGGAAGCAAATATAAGTCTTATGAAAGTGTAGTACAAGAGACTTTGGGTAGTGAGGTTAGGAGTCGTGAGGGTAAAATTGGTGTAGAGGCAATATAATAGCCAGGAGGCTATGTGTTGAAGATATAGCAGTGCGTTGTGAAGGATGTGAGCTGATAAACATAGGTGTTATTTAACCAGTACTTTAAATCAAATGAACTACAAATTATCATATAACACTACGTGGATTGAATCAGGACATACAGATACAATGCGTGTGGAGGGAAACAAACTTAGAAAAGCAAGGGAGTTTGTCTGCTTTGCAATACAACATTTTCATGGATATAGAGTGCCAGTCAATAGTAAAACACATCATGCAATTACTAAATGACCCACAAAAGAGAGAAACAAAAAATGCCATATCAGCGTCAAATAATACACAAAACAACGTCACAATTTACCTATTATTAGAGTGAGATCAATGAGTCTTTAATAGCATCATAAGGACATATAACATACAAATGCGAAGTCAATGAGGACACTCGCAAATAATCAAACAAAGCATGAAAACATCCGACTTCCGACGAGACAATAATTCGCAATAGCTAACGGTCGCAATCTCAAAATCAACTATTTGCTGATACTCGATGCAAAGATGTCTATGCTTAACGTACCCATGCACCATAACTCAAGGTAGGACAAAAGACTGCGTACATATATAATCAAAACGAGGAGTCTTATTATCAA